CCAGAAGCCTCGATAATATGGATATATATTTATACTTGACCTGATGTCAAGGTTGTAGCTAAGTCAGTGGGAGTATTACATCTGAATTAAGAGAGTATGAGGATATTAGTATTAGAGAATTATCTTTATGCACAGAAGTTAGACGCTATCTAATTTTTGTTTCACTTGTGGTTTATAAAAATTGGATTGTTATTTTGTAAAACTGGTTTTATAAGATTGAATAGATATGCGATTGCTTCTGGTGCATTGAAAGATGGTTAATATACTATAATCACAAGCTCTTATGATTTGCAGGATGTAGAAACTAATGTTGAATCTTCTAGATTAAATGTTAAGAGAAAATTTGTTGTTCCTGACTCATTGTATTTTTTGGTGTCTATTTTTGGGTTGTAATCAATCAAAATGAGATTCAAAGATTGGTCAAAGAAGGTTTATTACCTAGTGAGGCAGAGGAGCCTAAACCAAACTTGTGAATCCTGTTTTGAATGATAGATAACTCTAAGGGCTTAATCAGCCAAATGAAATAGACATAAAGAACAATTAGAGTCGGTACACACGGACACGTGTGGTCTTATGAACATCCAATCAAGATTACTCACGTTTTGGATAAATTTACCTGTTGCGACACAAGTCTTATACTTTGGTATATTCTGAGAGGGTCAAGACTGATGTGGAACACAGATTAGGTAAACTATCATGACACTTCGATCTGATCGAGGATATGAGTATTTCTTGGGATAATGCAAAGACTATATGGTTAATGAGGGTGTTGTGTATCAGTTTTTCGCAATTGACACTAAATTAATTTAGGTGTCAAATAGGAATAACAGAATTCCACTTAACATGGTTAGATCTATGATCAGTTATGCCACATTATCTCTTTCATTTAAGAGTTTAGCGTTAATAACATCGATGCGCATTATGAACTGCATTCCATCTTAGTCTGTCTCAAAGATACCGTTGAGCTGTGTTTTTGACTAAATCTTAGTTTGAATCACATGCACATATGGGGTAGTCTTGCACATGTGCGCTTGATATGGACAAGTAAGTTGGAAACAGATCATACGCATGATAGATTTGATAGTTACTCTAAAATGTCACTAGGACGGATTATTTTATGATCTCAATGATAAAAGTTGATTGTTTATACTCACTATTTATCTATAGGAGAATCATATTATGAATCACATACCTAGTAACATAGTGTTAGAGAATATGGTATGAGTACCAGATGTACCACATATGAACACACTTTGTATAGAGATTTAGAATTATAGATGAATTCCCTATTGATGCGTCAGCATCGTCTAGTACACAGATTCCTTCATCGGTACATTGATGTAGTGGGAGGATAATTATCTAATCCGACATAATCATGTTTTTAGGTGAGACCGTTATGGACATCCCTGTTAAACATGAGTTGGACCCAGTAAGCTACACGGAAGCGTGAACCGATATGGATACAGATCGTTTTGGCGAGTTACTATGAAATCAGAGTTGGAATCTATGTATTCTAATAAATTCTGGGATCTTGTAGAACTTTCTAGTAGGGTGATTCCTATGGAAGGCAAGTTAATCTACAAAAATATACCAGAAGATTTCTTAGTGAATAAATTATGAGTGTACAAGGGAATGTCATTATTTTTTTGATTCTATATATATTGATGACATCCTACTCATATAGAATGATGTGGAAGGTTTGTCATTAATAAAGAGGTAGTTGTTCAATTACTTTTAAATGAAGGATTTTTCAAGATGTAAGCTATATTCCTAGGATCAAGCTTTTGCAAGATCGGGTTAAAAGGAAAATAGGCTTATCTTAATAATCCTACATTGATAAAGTTTTAACCAGGTTTGGTATGTATAACTCAAAGAATGAGTTTTTGCTTTATTAATATGGATTGCTCTCTCTAGTAAGTAGTTTTCCAAGACTAACAGAGGAGATTGAGCAAATAAGACTGGAACTATATGCTTTGGCATATGGGAGTCTCATATATGCCATGGTCTATACCAAATAAGACATCCGCTACATAGTAGGGATAGTCAGTAGATATCAGTCCAATTCTGGACTTGATAACTGGTCTGTTGTGAAAAATATCATTTAGTACCTAAGGAGAACCAATGATATCATACTTATTTATGAATGTGTTGATATGGTCCTAATCAGGTATGCCAATTCTGATTTTCAATCAAAAGTAGATACTATGAGGTTCATGACTTAGTGTATGCTCACTTAATGAAAGGGAAATCAGTTGGTAGATTGTTAAGCAGATTTCAACTGCTGACTCAAACCTGCAGGTGGAATATATTGCAGCCTCAAAGGCGGCAAAGGAAGCCTATTGGTTTGATCTCACTGATTTAGAGGTTGTGGAGCATGCTAGCCTGCCTATCGAGCTATATTGCGACAATAGTGTAGAAGTAGTCCAAACCAATGACCCAAGGTTCTATAGAGGAACAAGATACACTGAGAGGAAGTATCATGTTCTACATGATATTATCCGGCAAGAAAATGTACTTGTATCTAGAACATTGCATTGGAACACAACTTTGTTGATACATTATCAAAGGAGTCATTGATCAATAATTATTGATCATCATCTGGATCACATTGGAGTTAGGTGCAATTTGAATTGACTATGAGGGCAAGTGGGAGCTGTTGGGATTTATATGCCCTGGCATAGCAAATTCCTGTTTGGATTAAAGTGACATATATTCCTGACGTTTCTGAAATATTTATGTTTTATACAATTAGTGAATTCAATGTATTATATTTCGATTCAATATAGAATTGATAGTGTCCATTTGATTACAAGAGATATTTATATATATGTATGTGATGGCAATCAATGCATGATATATAAATAGTAATCATAAATTGTTTATAGTCAGTAATTATGGATGGACTCATAATTAATTAAGACTTGAACTGGATCCGCGTTAGGTTGAGATATACTGCGAGAGCCGTCGTATGCAATTGCTCCCTATCACCGTCATGGCATTTGACTCTTAAGCATGAGAAAAGTATAAACTCTTTTATTAATTAATAATTACTTTGATTTGTTCGGCGGATTCTTCGGGATCCTTAAACCGACACTTTGGGTAGTTATGTAATTAATAGTTAGAGAGTTATATTTTCAATATTTGCATCATTGCTACTTGTATTTATTTTGTATTGATTATGGTTGATCACAAAGTAAATTCGAAGGCCTTCGTATGTTTTTAGACAAAATGATTTATTATATATTTATTTATTTAAATTATTATTTTTGTCAAACAAATGTTTTTATTGTGATCAAGCCAGAAATAATCAATGGTACCAAAATAAATATATTAATTAAGTAGTTGGATTGATGGCTTTATTTATTCGATAACAAATTATGCATAGAGGGGTCAAAGTGCAATATTGACTTAGAGGTTATTTATTATTTAATTGGAGTTCAATTAATTTCTTTTAGTGGAGTAGAAATTAATTTATGAATTAATTGAATTGGGTCCATGGACCGGGCCAATTATTAATTCGTTGTAGCCAATCAAATAATAGGCCCAATGGATTCTCACTTATAGCCCAACTTGATATTGGAATCATATTAGATTTGAGACATGTGAATTAGAGATTGAGAAGGATTTGTTGTTTCCTTTTCTTTATTTTTATGTTGCCTATAAATATACATGGTCTATGTATATTTTAGGGGGTGATTTTTATGAGAAGGAAAAAGGAATAACTTTTTTCTCTCTAGAAAATTAGGGTTTATGTTCTCATCTAATGGAGGCTCCCACAAGCCTAATTTCCCAAGGTCATTCATGGAGGCATATGAGTGATTCCTAAAGGCAAAACCATTACCAAGAAGATGGAGATCCATGGAAAAGGTGTCTAGCAAAAGGGATCTACAATAAGTGAGAACATTCACTTTAGAGGAGAGATCTAAGGTTTACTCAAACCTTGATGTAAGTATTCAATCTTTTAATTGAATGATACATCATGTTTTATTTTTACATAAAACTTGTCTCTATGTGATGAATCAAGATCTATGAATTAAAATCCCTCGAAAAGTTTTTAAATATTGCACGTTTCCCAACACCTATGTGTGTAGAGACTATTCAAAGAGAGGAAGAGGTTAGAAGGACTTATGAACATGCTTTCTCCACTGAAGAAATCCTGGTATCACAAAAAGCTAGGAATCAAATGGAAAAAAGACCTTAACCATAGTGTACAATTTTTTTTATCAAAAGATTAAAACTCATAGGGTTACTAACAACATTACAGGACTGAAAGAAGCTGACAGCACTTTGGTGCAAGATGAGAATGGCATTCGAGATTTGTTGTTACAGCATTACAAGTCTTTGTTTACATCTAGAGGTCAAGTTTCTCCTCTTATGGCTACTTATATCAGAAGATCTCTCAGTGGAGAGGCTGCTGCTACTTTGGAAGGCATAATTACTAGGGATGAAATTAAAAAAAAATAGTTTTTAATATGGGAATGGATACAGCTCCAGGACCAGATGGCTTTACTGTGAGGTTTTTTAGGAAATATTGGGGAATTGTTGGTGAAGAGGTCAGTTCTACTATGCTCTATTTTTATCAACATTCAATTATGGACAAAGGTATCAACAACACCTTTATTGCTCTGATTCCTAAGGTGAAGGAAGTGGATAAAGTAGGAGATTTTAGGCCAAATTCACTGTGTAATGTTACTTACAAGATCATCACTAAATTGTTAGCTAACAGATTGAGTATGGTTCTTGTTCAGATTGTGGGTAAGGAGCAAAATGCATTTGTTAGTGGTAGGAAAATTCAGGATAATTTGATTCTTACTTCTGAATTGTTGAGAGGATTTGGAGCTAAGAAGACTCAACCTACCTTGGCTTGGAAAGTGGATCTCAGGAAGGCTTATGATCCCATACAATGGGATTTTCTCTTTAGTCTATTATAGTTGTATGGTTTTGGAAGCAAATGGATCAGTTGGGTTAAAGCAGCAATTTTAACTGCTTGGTTCTCTCTTATGGTGAATGGGAGCCCCCTTGGCTTCTTTCAACCCTCTAGAGGGATTCAACAAGGTTGTCCCCTTTCACCTCTATTATTTACCTTGATTACCGAATATTTATCTTCCTGGTTTGAAGCTGAGTGCAGAGAAGGTAACTTGGTAATTGCTCCTGCGGCTAGAAAGGCTAACTGTTTGGTGACTCATCAATTTTTTGCTGATGATTTGCTGGTCGTAGTGAGAGCAAATATGGCTTCAGTGTTTACTTTGAGAAGGATGATGAAGCACTTTGAAGAAGTGTCTGGTTTAGCAGTAAATACAGATAAGTCTGAGGTATTCTTTACCAGGTCTGTGAAGAGGAAGTCTAATGTGCTGAGAATATCGGGTTGTACGCAAGGTTCTCTTCCTTTTACTTATTTAGGGCTTCGTATTTCTAATAAGGGGCTAAAGAGATTGGACTGTAAACCTTTGATGGACAAGGTCATGTCTACAACTACAAGATGGGCTGGTATGAATCTCTCTATGGTAGGTCGAATTGAGTTATTAAGGGCTGTGAGTATTCCTGTGGTACTTTGCTGGTCCTCTGTATTATATCCCTGTTGCAGTTGTCAATTTAATTGAAATAAGGATGAGAAATTTTGATTGGGGGCATGATGATAATAACTTAAAGCTGGATAGTTTGTGTTGGAAAAGGGTTGCGTCTCCAAAAACTGAAGGTGGTTTTGGCTTAAGGCAGATTCTTGACATTGACAAAGCTGCTAAATGTTCTTTGGTCTGGGATTTCCTTCTTTCTAAAGATAGGTTGTGGGTAGCATGGTTTAAGCAATGTAATTTAAGGGATGCTTCCTACTGGTCTGTCATTCCTAAATTAACTCACTCTACCAATCGGAAGAGTATTGTAGCCATCAGGGAAATTCTAAGGGAGAATTTCTCTTATCATATTGGTAATGGTGCTTTGATTCAAACGTTTTTGGATCCGTGGTGTAGAGGTCAATTTTTATCAGAGGTTTTTAGTTTTAGAACCTTGCAACAGGTTTCTCATAACAAACAAATTGAATTGGGTAGGTTTATTATTCAAGCTCAGTGGCAGGTTGTTGGTATTCCACTTCAAGTTAAACAATTCATGCAACAATTCAGGATCTATGGTGGTGCTGATCAGATATTATGGAAACATAAACCTTTTACTTTTAAAGATGCTTGGGATGCCTGTAGGGAATCTAATCCTGAGGTTTCGTAGTTTGGTTTGGTATAGAATGGTGGTAGACCACGATGGTCTGTCTTTAGTGCTTTGATTATTCAGAATGCTATTTTGACTAGTGCAAATTTGTAGCGACAATGTATCTTTCTAGCTTCTAGATGCTATCTGTGTGGCAATGATGATGAACATGTTGATCACATGTTTGTGAATTGTGTGTATTCTTGGGAGTTATGGTATGGTTTGGCTAGTATGTTCCATTGGAGGGTTCGAAAAAATGAGCTCAGTTTTTTTGCTGCAGATTTGGAGCAACACTTTCGAAGTAAATCTAGCAGAAATAAGGTTCACATGATGCTATTTTCAGCTACATTGTATTACGTATGGAATGAAAAGAATGGTAGACTTCATAATGATGTATCTAGGTCTCCTTTCATCCTATTGAAATGCATTGTTTGGGATGTTTTTGATATTGCTGGTATTTGTTTACAAGACCTTTTATGTTTTTAGGATTTTAGGGTTGTTGTTGGATCTGTTTGCACTTCCTTAGAAGTTCTTTTGTGTTTTGAGTGAGGGGATGCCTTCACTTTTATTTCTGTACTTTATTGTTTTATTTGTAAAATTTTCTTCATTTAGGAAAAAAAATAAAAAAAATTCTCTCTCTAGATTAGGGTTTTTGGAGCAAAAGAAGAGGAAAGAAAGGGGAAGAAGATGAACTTAACCATGAAGATAGCCCTTCAGGGTTAGACAACAACAACCATAAGTGGCTAGATCATCCTCTTGGGGCTAAAGATAGCCCTAGGCTTGCCTTATAAACTTTCTTATTTTGTTATTTTTAGTGGATTCTTGTTGTAAATGATGTTTTAACCTATTAATATATATAGATCTTGAGTTTCTACATGATTTGTATGTATTAATTCTTCTAATTAATCTTTCATTTTATTTATATGTCTATGTATGATGGAATGGATGATTATGTCTTTACATTAGATTCTACAAATTTGATGCATGTCTATGTGTGTTGGAATTGTGAATTTAATGATGGTTAAGGCATGGGGCTTATTGGTTACTCTTGTGATTTATTTGATGGATTATACTTATGCTTAATAGGTTGTTCTACTTTATTAGCTTAATTAATTTAATTTCCTTGTCATTAGTATAAGTGTAGTGTAGTTATCTTTAAATTCCTAGATAAGTAGACAATCCATGCTTGTGTTTGATGATCCGTGCTTATGATTGCAAGTAGTATATTTCTCTAGATTTTTGTTTGCATCAGTTGTGGGTTTATTGAATGGTTAATGACTTAGCTTGATGAGTTGTGGTACACACTAGCTTAGGTAGACAATTTATGCTTGTTTTGTCATCCATGCTTATTGTTTCAATTGTTGGCGCATATACACACTTGTTTTACAACTTTGAATCCCCCTAAACTGACAAATGCTAGATGTTTAGAAAGGTGGAGCTTAGTGGTGAACTCTATGCCCTAAAACCTCTCTCTCATTCTCTACACCCTAATATTTTTAGCTTGTTTACTTTGCATGTTTTTTATTGAATTGTATCTTAATTCAACCAACCAAACCTCTCCTTGATCATTAGACCAACTAATCCGAATTTGATTCTGAAATACCTTGCAAATCCCTTGGGATGATCCCTAATCACTTCATACTACCTAGTATAAGTGTTTAGTGGTTTTTATAAATTTTTAAATGTGGTGGCCACTTCACACACTCACACCTTTTACATCATTTTAAGCACTCCGCCTTGCATTACACCAATACTCCTATACAAGAAATGATCAACTTTGTTAAGATCAGAGTCTCTATCCAATTTAGATGAAGTACTCATAGGGGTTTGCACATGCTTTGAATCTTTCATACCAAATTTATTTACTAGATCATTTGCATATTTTGATTGAGATATCAAAATCCCATCAGGAAGTTGTTTCACTTGGAGACCTAGAAAGAAAGTTGGTTCACCAACCATGCTCATTTCAAAAGTATTACTCATATCCTTAGCAAAATTATTAACAAGGTTACCATATGTAGCACCAAAACAATATCATCCACATATATTTGAGCAATAAGAAAAACTTTTCCTTTCCTACAAATAAACAATATTTTATCAGCTCCTCCTCTTCTGAAGCCCTTATACAGTAGATAAGAAGTTAAACTTCTCATACCATGCTCTAGGAGCTTGTTTTAAACCATAAAGAGCCTTTTTAAGATGAAAAACAATATCAAGATTATATGGATCAATAAAACCTTTTGGTTGTGATATATAAACTTCTTCCTACAAAATAACATTGAGAAAAGCACTTTTAACATCCATTTAAAACAATTTGAATTTAAAGTGACATAGAAGAGCAAAAAGAATTCGAATAGACTCAAGTCTAGCAACAGGTGCAAAAGTCTCATCAAAATCAATTCCTTCAACTTGAGTGTATCCTTATGCAACCAATCTAACTTTATTTCTCATCACAAGACCATGTTCATCAAGTTTATTTTTAAAGATCCTTTGGGTCCCTATGATATTTACATCACTAGGTCGAGGCAATAATTCCCAAACATCATTTTTTACAAATTGAAACAATTCTTCTTGCATAGCCATGAGCCAATCAGAACTTTGAAGAGCTTCATCAACATTCTTTCGTTCAAACTGAGCCATGTAACATAAATGTCCTATGTTGTGACGGCCTGGTTTTTAGGCCAGCGCGTCCTGTGATGAACCAAACGTAGATCCGATAATGAATCCAGAATGCAGAAGAAAAATAAAAAACAACAGTCTCTAAAGATACAACACGTCTCTAAGATACTAATGTGACCCTCAATGAGGTTACGAAACCCAAAGAATACAAATGTGAAACGACATTTTAAAAACAAACAAGAATGAACCTAGGGGAAATATGGTCATTTCCAAAATTAAAGTGAGTGCTACCGAGCACACCATTGGAAAGACAACGAAAAATTAATGAACTTAGACTCAAGAATCACTTGACTCGGAGTTTGAATAAAGAAGATATGGCTAACGGAAGAAAAAGGGGTAAAAAGGTCAAAATAGTCAACCCAAGACCATCTAACCGGTTAGGAAACCTTTCTAACTGGTTAGGAGGCAAAAACAGAGGCGACCACAAACTGTTTAAGCTCTCGTAACCGGTTACGAGAATCAATCACCCGTACACTTGTACTAAAGTTCAGCAAAAAGCTGACAGCAGAGGTTTTTCAGAAACAAATGGGTTTTTGAGGGTCAAAATGAGGTTTTCTAGAAAAACAAGAAGAAGAAACCCCCCCTAAAATCGAGTTTTCTACTCAAAAAAATGGAAGAAAATGAAGAAAACTCAATGTGAAATGCCCAAAATGCCCTCCTAAGAAATCAGGTCAAGAGGGGTAAAAAGCTGCTAAAATGTAAAATTGGAAGCTGAACTTCGCGAGGGATTTCCGGTACCAAGAGGACATTTTCTGGAAAACACGAAAAGAAACCCCTCCTAAAATCACGCTTTCTAAGTGACCACATCAAGGATAGAATTTATTTCTCGAAGGAAAACCCCAAAATTTTCTTAAACCAAATTATGCAATAAAAATGCTAAATGAGTCCATAGGAGAATCAAATTACCAAGGAAGAGGTTTTTCTTGAAAATGATCATACACACAAATGTAACTTACCTATTAGGATGTGAGGATGTGCTACAATGATCCATGGGTTAAAAATACCATCGATGCAAAATATGACTTATCAAACCTCAAATGCGAGAAAAATGCCTTTAAAGACAAACCATGCAACAACCGGACTTAAATGCTTTCAAAAGGCTGTTTGGCCTTTGGCCACACTTCATGCATAATTAATGAGACCCTATGGAAGAAAAAAATGGAATTCCCACACCCGATGCAAACACGGTGAAACAATGACTTGCCATTTTTCAATATTTTCATAATATTTCATGAAGTCAAAAATTATATAGGATACAAAATAATTGTCATTAGCCTCCAGCCTCATCTCATACATGTCAAATACATTGTAAAGAGGGTACTTAAATACACATTACATGTTTAGGATAAAATATACACATTTTGACATATAAGTCTACAAGTGGCATTTCAAGCCAACCTTTACAAAAATTGAAACCTTCAAGTCTACAAACCATCCAAACATAATGTGAATCTCAAACCTTGATCCTTGTACCTGAAAAATGTCCCTAGTAACTTTGGGGTGACTAACATAAAGCTACTCGTAGGAGATGAGCATGCATAGACCTAACGTTTTACTGTTTATTAAGTGGATATAAATCAACACATATGGTCCATGCCACCTAGCGTTTATGTCAAAGGTGAGACTCAGGGAGCATCCTAAGCTATCTTAAATCATTTCTAGCATAAATCACATCATTCATGCAATTCAAACAACATAAAAAAATGTTATACGAAGCAACAAGAAATAGATTCTCAAAGCCCTCAACTTGAAATCTAAAATACGAAAACAACTAAAGTGGGTCATGCCACCTAACGTCTATGTTCCAAATGAGTCTATAGAATCATTTCTAAACTACATTTGAACATTTTAGCATAAATGTACTTAACAACATCAAAGTTTACAATGATTCATTAAAAATCACAATGGCTAAATATACTTAACAACATTAAGATTGCGATGATTCATAAAAAAAAAATATATAAAACATAAATGTGCTTAACAACATTAAAACAAAATCACAATATCAATGCAATGTAACCAACATTGGAACTTTCAATACAACACATAAAGAATGATTTCTCAAAGTTAACATCTTGAACTCAAAATAGGAAATCAAATAAAGAACAACAAGTTACGATATCATTTAGTTATCAACTTGAAATGAAATACGAAATCAAACATGGTGGATACTCGGACATCACGCCGGATCAGACCGATAGCATGGTTACTTTAGTGTTACTAGCCCATGGGTAACCTCCCTATGTGTGCACTAGACTATAGGGGGACAATCCCCCGTACTAAAACCATGCCCTAGCCATAGTCAAACAACGACATTCCAAGTTTCCAAAATCAACAAGTTG